TGGCAGCAGAACCTCCTCCTCAAGCTCCTCCTGCGCCGGGAGAAGGCGCTTGTGCTTTCCCTATGCTTATCAGAGAATCTCAAAGTGAAACATGACATTTTAGGGAGCAGGGAGATATTTTTAAACCCCAGTTTATAAACAGTTTACTTCTTAGCCCACCACAAGGGCTTAGGAGCGCAAAAGATGAGTGTGTTGGTGAGCCGCACATCCTGCCACACTGAGCCACCAGTGACGACAGCTCTTGCCAGCAGATACTCTGGCTGAGAGTCTGCGGGAGAAAGGCATCGCTCCATCTCATTTGTGAGCCACCCTCAGGGAACAGAAAAACTGAAAAGAAAGCAAAAATGGAGCAGAACAGACAGCTGCTCGGAATGGATTTGTTAAGGGAAGCAGATTTCCCTGCTCAGCCGAGGTGCTCGGGAGGAGGGGGAGAATTTGGGAAACTGCAGGCTGCTGTATGAAGCTCTGAGGTTAGTCATTGCTACCCTGAAGGGAACCAGACAGGTAAAAGACAGAAAGAAAAGGGGCACTGGAGTCACGTCTGCAGACCCAGCTCTGATGTTGCACTCATTTTATAATGGGCCAAACAAAATTGCTTTTAATTGATAGTTGGTGCAAGACTTGGCTCCGCTGGCCACTTTGTGCTTGTGGAGACACATTCACCCCAAGGAAGAGCTCTTCAGGCTGGAGAGGGTGTCTCCGCAAGGATGATGCAAGCCACTGAGCACGCTTCCCTAAGGAGCTGCTGAAAGGTTTTCCACAAATAGAAACACACTTGGCTTTTTTTAGCCAGAGTGGCACGCCTCTGCATCACCACATACTTCTTGGGTGGCTGAGGATCTCCTCTGCTTTTACTCTTCGCTAGGGCTGACAGTTCAGCAGAAGGGATTATCTGGCCAAACAACACATCTTGGATGGGATGCCAGTATGGGTTATGTTATGGTGGTGCTGGCAAGGTGCTGCTGACCACCTTTGTGAAGAGTGACCCCTGGTAGCTCAGAGACAGAAACCGTTTGCTTGCACTTCTCTTCATGCGCTTAAAAAATTTCCCTCCTCTCCCTTTGTGTTTCGGGCAGTACCAATCAGAGACCATCACAGCTTAAAACCTATTGCTGACCTGATATTTCTTTGACTGTTTTGAAGACATCCAACTTCTTGGGGTCCAAGGGTAGGGTCTTCGTGAAGGCATCGCTGAAAAACACAGAATGAGAAATTGGGAAAAGAATGGCTCATCCTGAATTTCTCCTTAGTTCTTCTCCTCCAGTGCCAAACGACCAGTGGGCAACTCACCCTAGAAATGCAACTGGGAGAATGCTGACATCCCCGTTGATCTTCGTACAGTTTTTGAAGGAGTCAATGTTTGTGGCATTTATGGAGAGGATCCCTTTAAGTTCACCTATTCCGATGCCGTTGCACACTGTTAAAAGAGAGATACAAAAGTCAGGGGGAAGAAGAATGTAGGCCAATCACATGGAACGGAATAAACATGAAGATGCCATTAGTCCAGAAAGCACTCCCGTATGGTCAAACCTATCACTGTAACATGAGTTTCATAGATCATTTGCCTACTTCTGCTTTTCAGAAAGCACCACAGGACAAACACTTACTGCTTGCCCAGCTATGCAGCTCTGGTCCGACCATCTCTGCACACAGGCTCTGGCATATGCCCATGTCTCTCTTTCTCCTATTTTTCATTTTATTCCCCTTGACAAGATACTGGGAAGGACAAATGAAGGAGAAGGCTGATGTGCAAGATACACATGCACATAATGCACAGATTATCTACTGTACTTGTGGTGTATCCCAGTTGGAGAGCATGCTCCACAGCCATGTTTCCTGATCAAACCACTTGTCAGATCTCCAAACTATCACTGGATATTTATTATTGAATTTGCGTGTAATTAAGGTCAGAACTCCATGTACTTTTTCTACGTAGTTACGTATCATCTCAAAGCCTTACTGGTTTATTCCATGCTTTTCATACCTTTGCTGCATAACCCATCACACTTTTTACATTTCCGAACACCGTTTTCTTCCACTTCATAAGTATCAGTATTGCACGAGCGAACGCAGGAGCCGTGGTCTGTCACCACATAGTTGTCTGGAAAAACAAGGATACAAAGGTCATTGAAATACAAGAGGGATGCATTGGGGGCTGCACAGGCACTTCAATACTAGGTAGAAAAAGGGGGTTTGAACTTTTGGCATACTTAGCAAAGTACAGGCATTAATTATTAATTCTCATAAACATCCTTTGAAGGTAGACAGTCATACAATGCTATCACCATTGTACAGAAAGTGGAATGGTCACAGAAGGATAAAACAACATTGCCAAGGTCAGGCTGTGCAGCAGTGCCATAATCGGGATCAATACATGGCACCTCTGATCCCTCACCTTCACTCACTCTTCCAGGCTAAGGGCCAGGCAGAGCAATGGTCAGTCTCAGAAAGGGATATCAGTTCTGTAATCTAAACCATCTCTTACATATTAAGTCTCAATGGGTTAAAAAAACCATGGACATGGAATAGCAGGAAAGAAAAAGCAAGCATCTGTAGAGGAAGCAATGATCACAGGCCTTGAGCGGGAGTCTTTGAACTAATTACTTTCTATCAGTCCTAATTAAGAATAAGTTAAGAGTTGATAATGCTTTGGTAATCCACAGGATTGATCCCATATGACTTGCTTGGCTGTTGTTTTGATGATTCTCATAAGATGTTTTTTGTCCCCATCAAGAGAAAAATCTTCAGAAGTCAAAATTTAATGGTTAAAAATCAGGGAAGGTGATGGATGCAGCCAGTCTGAAGCAGCTGTTGTCTTTACCAGCTATTCTTTCATTTTTGTCACCTGTTCCCGGTTCCCACAGAAGCTGAGGAGAACAAGAAAGTGCTCTTGCACTTGGCCATAACACAGAGGGATGACACAGGTCCCCTCCCACTTCCCTCCAACCCCCCACCTCCTCTGTGGCTGCGACCCGAAATTAACTTACGTGGACATTCCCTCACACAAGTGGCTCCGAAGCTGTATTTTCCATCGGGGTTGACATCCATCTGATAGGTGGTGGGGTTATACAGGACCAATGGGGGACATGTGTCCTTGCACGTAGCATCATCCCGAAACTTGCGGCATGCCTGTCGTTGAACAACAGTACCCATTAAACTACCTTCACCTTAAAAAGTGACAATGGTTTCACGTTAGGTCTTTAATAACACTCTGATGAGCTCATCTGTTCCCTGCTTAGCTCTAATGGAAACCCCAAGCACCTACAGGGATGGTCCTTCGTGTTCTGAATGTGAAAGATTGCTTCAGGTTGGGCAATCAAGTTTAATATTTGGAAAAAAAAGAGAGAACACGAGGTTTTCTTGTTCTGAACAAGAAACCTTGGCACTCTGGTGGAGAGCTGCTGGGATTCACGTGGGAACAGGAGCAAATCTGCATGCCTTAGAAGAATTTTCCTTAAAGGAGTAACAAGATCAAGACAAACCATACTTTTCTTGGATGCTTTTTAATAACCTAA